GATTTTGGAAAACGTATCTTTGAGCAAGTTTACTTTCAAAATTTTCACAGTTCGACATTTTTATGTTTCGGCATTTTTCCTTTCGACATTTTTATCTTTCGACATTTTTTCTTTCGACGTTTTTACCTTTCGACATTTTTCTTTCTACCAAAGTTGAGAGAATCCGAACAACGTACCTTCTGCTATCCCGACAAATGTTCTGTGCCAGTACACTAAAAGGGATGTCTTAATCTCAATTCAATGTTGGAGCAAACTATCACCGATAATAACAGTACTCCTTTTTGGAAAAATATTCTTTCCAACGTTGCATGCTGACATCACTTCCTATGCCAGCGTTTTTTTTATCATACAGAAAAAATAACCATGACACATTCACTCTTTTCTACTTCCTTTATTTGGTAAATAATATCCTCGTTTTTCGACCGATAAAAGCAGCTTGTTTTGCAGAATAAAGCATTCATTTTCACCGGCTTTCAATCAGATGTGAGTATTGACTTTATTAAAACCAAGCATGGAACGTCATAAAAATAAGCTCGCTATACTTATTTTCGAAGTACCCACTATTCCATTGACTGCAGTTGTTGCTGACATCGAAATATAATGCATCTTGATATTTTTGAGTATCTCGAGAATGAAAGCAGCTACAATCCTGCCGTTTTCATCATTCAAGAGAGAAATATAGGGAAAATATAACCATGGAGAAATTATTGAGATCCTGAATTTTTGCAATGTTTCTGAAAAGTTAGACTTAAATCAGGCTTCATGCTCAAATATTTTTCCATTCTCCCTCGAACAAAAAAAACTAAAAAATGCCAATCTCATATTTTGCTCGTATTGAATTATCATATAATTAGTAGTATATGAATGGATAATCCGTAACGAATGGAAAAACTGAACGAACAAAACAAGAAAAAAGTTCCTACTGAGATCGGAACTTCGTATATAGAGAATTATTTTAGGGTATACCAAAAGTATCAAGACTTTCAAGGAAAATATACAAAAACAAGTCATTATAGGTTTTATTTCATCAAATTTTTGAAGTAGTTGCTTGATTATTTATACACAAGAGCTTCTCTTTTAACCATTTATGGGAAGTTTTTTTTTTTATAGTAATTTTTGTTTATCGAATATGACGATTTTGGTTAGGCATTAGAGAGCTGCGGGTTCTTCCAATCCTGAACCCAATCGGGTGCAGACACAGGTTCTGGCCGGACCTGGATCTGAAGTTTCGGGTTTGGGTCTGAGTCCTGATCCAAAATTTAAATTCTGTCTGATTTCGGGTCTGAGTCTGGGTCCATATCTAGATTTATCTACAGACCCGGTATGGACTCAACTTTGATACTGAATAGAACTATGTGAGGAATGAGAACACGAAAGAACTTTGTATTGTCTTTTTTTTTGAGTGTAATCAATAAATAAAATCTCGATTTGATTCTTTATTTGATTATCTACACAAAAAGTGCCAAAATTAGCGGAGAAAAAACTCGAGTCAGGATCCGATCGGGTTCAGGTCCAAAAGAACATGGATCTGTAGCTCTGTATTAGGTATGCATGAAAACCAAAAGTTTCGGCTTTAGTTTTTATGATAAGTCTTTATTGTGAGATATTTCGAAAAATGTCATATTTGAAAACCAAAACCGTCAAAATCAATACCATATCAAAACTAAAATTCCAAAACCAGTTTTGGTTTTCGTGCATGCGTAGTCAAAATGATCTAACTAGAGATAATAAAGCATTTTAATGATCATTATTTCATTATTTACTGTATGATAGAAAATATACTGAGCATTCATTATTAAATGCTATGCACTAAGATACATGCCTATAGTGATTAATAATCTGCTCTATATATTTATCTACCAGAGGAACGTGCTGATGTTTTCAAAAATATTTTATGATAAGATCTAGTGCGACTACTATCATCAGTTTTTGTAAGATTCTTACTTAAATATTCTATAAGATCTTTGCCAACATCTTGCATTAACAATCTTATAAAATCTTACCAAAAGAAATTGATAAGTTTTGAAAGTTCTCAAGAAGATTGGTAGGACTTCAAATTTGAACTTAATATGACCTTTTGACTTTAGAAGACTTATCATATTATCACTCTGCAAATATCAAATATTCTCACTTGCAATTAGTAGGATCCTACTTCATTCTCGTTCTGTTATTTTTCGTCCTGCTTTTATATCTATTTTATCATAATTATAAACAGTGGTTTGTTTGTTTAGCAGTTATTTTAGAAAAGAATACGAAACATTTGATTTGATCTTCGCAACACAAAATTGTGTCATTGTTCTCATTATTTCTCATATTAATACATAAGATCGTTTTATTAACGTGCTCGAACGAAACCAAATTATGACTACTAATCAACTCCAATACAACAATATCAGTTCACAATACATGCAATGGAAGTTAATCAATCAACGTACTATTGACTATGTAGCAAATTACACAGTTTTTAAGTGTATGCTAAGTCCACAACTGGACGGAAATGGCTCATTGATGGGACAACGTGTACTTGATTTGGGATGTGGCGCTGGTTATTATACGCGTCGATTGAAAGCATTGAGCTGTTCTTATATCCTTGGTGTTGACATAAGTTCAGCGATGATAGATCTTGCTTGCGATGCTCAGCGTCAGGATTCAAAACATATTGAGTACATGGTTGCCAACGCCAAACATTTGCCTCCACCAGAACAGCCTTTCGATCTAGTAACTGGATTCCATTATTTATGTTATGCTGGAACGCGAGAAGAGCTACTGGAAATGGCGCGTGTTATTTTTGCGCAACTCGATAACAATAAACCCTTTATCGGTTTAACAAACAATGTTGTAGCAGGCATAAAGATATTCGATATAAATCGATTACAACAGTATGGATTAACAGTACAGTCTGAAGTTCCTATAGGCGATGATACAATACCTGATGGTACGAAACTGATCTTCACAATGCGGGACAAACAAAGCGAGGTAGTATGTACATTGAGTAATTATTATTTGTCACCAGCGATCTACGAGCAAGTATTCAAAGAAGCAGGGTTCAAAACGTTTGAATGGGTACCCTATCAATGCGATCCCGACGCACCTGATAAAGCGTTTCTTGATGATTACATTAATTGCCCGCCTGGAATCGGTCTAAAAGTAACTAAATAAAAATCACGAACCGAACTCAATCTATTGCTTAACCAGAACAATTAATTTATTAATTTAATAGTCATAACCAGTTCTTTCCAAAATATTCTAGTATTAATGTGCACGATGTAGCATGTTTCACTGACAACAAAAGTGATAAACATGTCCAACAATGCAAATGAAACACTCACTATCGAAATATCAACTTTCTCAAAGGTGTTTTTTGGGTCTGACAATTTCAGAGTACATTTCTGACACGATTGAAAAAAATACAGTGCAAAAAAAAAAGAAATTATTCATCATAACAAAAATTGTAATACTTGTGCCGACTCTGTGGGATTCTTTATAGATATAGCAATTCTCCAAGGAATTTTCTATTGTGCAAAACTTTTCATCGTATAAATTTCAGCTGGATAGATTGAGTTCAATTTTTCATTTATTTTATTGATACACAGCCCAAATAGATATCTGCGGGAAAATATCACCCGTCATATGTCGACTGCGGTTATTATTAACATACGCGAACATCATGAACGGCCAACTGTGTAAAATCAGATATAAGTCATCTTTATGAATACCCACATGCATAGATGTCATAACAAATTACACCTGATAGTCAGATGCTCAAATCGTAATTCCCTATCTTCAGAGTATTCAAGTAAGGTCTATTACCCTAAGGGTAATATTCCTTCGTAAAATTCACAAGTTGTTACTCCAAATGGTAATACACCAAATTCACTCAAACTTATTAGTTTTAAAACATATAGTAGTGAGGATGAGGGAAAGCACATCCAAGAGATCGAACTGAGAGCGAGGGAAAAGAGACACTCTATAAGCCTAGCTGAGGTTGAGCGAAAAGACACACAAGGAGTCTATCTGAGGGCGTAGACCAGTTAGATGTGTCATTGTGCTTTGTTTCGATAAAATTGCGTTTTTCTTGCAAAGCTGTCGACGAATCGATTTTCAGGTGGGTTTCCTACTGATCAGATTTTTCTACATGTTTTCATGCGGGCGTGAAGGTGAGCGTGGGTGTGGGTGTGGGCGTGGGCGTGGGGTGGGTGTGGGCGTGGGCGTGGGG